CCCATTTCATGACTAATGATTGCACGATAAAGCAGTAACAGCAACAGCTTCCTAATATTCGATTCAGCAAATAGCATCTGACTCCTCATCAGCTGTGTCAGTACCGTGGCGTTGACGGCCTGAAGGATTTTCACCAGTCCGCCTACCACCATCGAAAATTTCAATCGTGACACATTGACCAAGCAGGCTTGACTCTGACTTATCAGCAGCCGCGCCTTTCGTTTCAGTGGGCCAGACTTCACAGGAAGCTGAAATGCAGCATACACAGTGTAAAGGATAACGAGTTGCAAGGTACAACACCTGATCCTCGAATCGCGTGATCAGGAACGTGACCCATTGTAGTGGCTTTTCAGTCGACTGTACTTTCATGATGCCCTGCATCATAGGTTATGGATCAGAACTGACATTAGGTTGCCATGCTTTTTTGGCAACGCTGCATACTGCCAATGTCTTTTTGTACATTATGCCTTCATCAACGAAACAAAGGGCGAATTAACGCTTCAAGACTTACAGTATGACTTTGGTTTTGAAGGACAAAGATTTGCAGGTACAAGCAAACTATCGAACAAATGAAACGTACAGTAATTTAATTCAGACGTTTTCAAATTCAAATTCTAGCAGATTTTTACCGGTGGAACTGAAATATCTGACACGATGCAGGTAGCCGAACGATATTTTGATTAATGGCCACATCTGGAATAACAGCTTAAAGTATTTACTTAATTCTTGAACTTCATCGATTAAAATATTCAGCTCACTCATGAACTAGAAGGGGGCAACTTTCATTCCTAGATGGACCTGTATGCGTGAAGAACGTAACGTTAGACATCAATCTATATCAGAAATTTATCCAAACCGGACGCTGCATCAACTTTCATTCCCGCGTCTTTTGTATCCATAAAAGCAAGACTGATTTAAATTCTGCACCCTTGAAACACTAGACTGTGAAGGAACTCCTGGTCACTCCATCGTAAAAAGCAGCACAAGAAATTGAGTTCAACCAAGATCTACAAACCAAATGGAACGACGAACACCACAGAAGACTTCCAGACTCTTTATTTTCTGGTCATTCCATAGAAAAATGCTGAAGTGCCAGAATAAAACATGCATGACCAGGTACCAAATTAACCCTTGTTTGCAGATCCCCGAACAAGTTTGCAGAACTCCTATGCAAGAAGGGCATTATATTAAAATAAGAAAATGCCACGATGGTATGTGAATAAATTGTCCGTGCAGAAAGAACTGCAGTGGAGAGACCTTCGGAAAACTGCAAGGCCGGAGCATTTAACTAGCGGCTTTTTCCAGAAGGACAGATGAGAATAGCTTTTCGGTTGTTAAGCACAGCACACTAAAGGGCAAATTTTACACGATAAGTATACAAGCAGCATAATCTGCACTGAGGTCCACTGAAGAAAATGTAAGTTTTGGGAAGCAGTCAATGCGGAGCAGACAAAAAAAAACAACAGTCATCCAGTAGCTTATTTGGGGCATGATATTAAATGGTCAGTGCATCCATATTACTTATGCTCGCGCATCTTGCTAAAAACTTACTTTGAGGCTCTTGCAACCTTGCACCGTTAGAGTCATTCACAATTCACCAGCAGAAAACACGACCTCAGCACCGAAAGAGAACTCGTCATCGAAAAGAACGACAGGAACACTGCACCATGTTGCTCACTTATTGAATCCGAACTATAATATTTAAATAATTGAAAGAAAGTATTGCTCTAAATAGAATATAATTTGTGAGCTTCAACCCAAAAGACATTGAAAAGATTTTTTCGGAACTTCTGTGTGAGAAAATCGAGCGATTACTCTTTCAAAGCGTCTGCAAGAATTTTAATAACAAACGGCGCGCTGATTTTAGATTAAATATCATAAACAATTGCTATAACACACATGTACCTTCTTATTTGGGGGTTCAGTAATTTAGAGAAATGCCTCAGCAAAACTGAGTGAAATTCGCAAAGATCTTGCGTTTCATGATGCTAACCTTCTCTGTGTCAGTAATTGCG